TTGGCTGCAACATGCGCGATCATGGCCTTCCGTCGGGGGGGGGGGGGGGGGCGCAGGCGGATCAGCTCCCGCCCGCGCGGCCCCGGTAGAATGTGCAAGTTGTTCCACAAGAGCTGCCCTCGACGAGGGCCTCTGTGTCGCGACCGTCGACGCCAGCGGCTGGGGCGCGCTGGAATCTTTCCTGGGACATACAGAGGCCCATATTGCGATCTGCCACCTGTTCTGCAAGAGCTGCCCTCGACGAGGGACTCTGCGTCGCCGCCGTCGACGCCGGCGGCTGGGGCGCGCTGGGGTCTTTCCTGGAATGCACGGAGGCCCATATTGTGATGGCCCAGGAGCATCGGCTGAAAAGGGGTCAGTCGGACCTAGAGCAAGCGTCGAAGAGCGCCAAGTTCCTGGGCTGGAAGTCTCTGTTGGCCCCAGGGCTAGTTGGCGGTGGAGGTCGCGCGTCTTCTGGAGCGTGCGCCCTGGTCAAGGACACCTTCGGCTTCTCTGCCCCCATGGATCGGCGCGTACTGGTTGACGGGGGAGCTGCCGCAGTCATGACGCACGCGCCAGGCTGCGCGGCGTTCTGCGACGTCTCGCCTCACCTGGTTCACAGCGAAGGTCACTCAGAAACTAGGCCGGCGATGATACAAACGATTGGGAAGTTTCTGTGGCACTTGGAGCGCGAGTTCATTATTGGGGGAAATTGGAACTTCGTCCCTGAGACATTCGATTCCTGCGATTTTGCCCGGCTCGTCGTAGGGGCCTCGGCGTCCGCTGATGGCCGCGCCCATTTCCCGAGCTCGGGGGGGCCTGGTAGGTTTGATTAGTTCGCGGTCTCGATGTTTTTGAGCTTGCGTTTGAAATATGTCGACGTCGTGGGGGGCACGTCCTTCGCCCACCCATCGACCAGTAGCGATGCGCTTCCACGCGTCGCTTGGCGATCTCAGGGCTCTCGCCTTCCGTCGCCCCCCCGACCTCCCCGCCCCCCCATCCGATGGGCCCCCAGCCTCAGGCGGGGACCAGGGGAAGGGCCCTTGCCCTTGCCCAAGCGGCCTATGGAGCTGCGCAGAGCGGAGAAGATGATCGCGCCCGACGCGTGCTCGCGCCAGGTTATTAGGAGTGGGCCAATTCTGCTGAGCGTGATTTGTCCTCTTTCTTGGGGGCGCCGATTCCGCGTGGGATGCGCGGCAGAAGGCCCCAGATGCATTGGAAATCCATTCTGAAACAGGTGGTCGAGCTGAGGGCCCCAACGTCAGGCCCGCTCTTTGGCTCTCGAGCCAGTTGCGAGCTTCGGGGTGTTACGTATCTTTCGGAGCAAGGGCTTCTGGATGGAGGCCGTCTTGTTCTGGCGGCGCAGGCGCAGCCTCTTGTCTCTGTTCAGCTTGCTGCAGGCTCTGACTGGTCTTTGTTTTTGGTTTTTTGCGGCTGCGGCGGGCTTGGCGCGCCGGGCCCTCAGTTCTGCGCTGGATGCCGAGCGGGCCGCCGATCTGGACCGTCTCGTCCAGGATGTCGCGTCAGCTTGCGCGCCTGCTAAGGCCCCCGCCGCTGCCGCGTCGAGGTCCGCGGCGAGAGCGGGCGCGCACTGGGCTTAGCAAGGGGGGCAAGCATGCGCAGCGAGCCATCCGAGGCCCCGAACCCTGGGCGCCCTCCGCCACTCTCTCCTGCTGGGGCCATTGTGCGTGGCCCCTCCAGACTCCTCGAAGCCGAGGGGGGCGAGTTCTCGGCGATTTGGAAACGGAGGGATGGCCGAAGGGTTTGCTCCACCATCCCCCCCCCCCCCCCCTTCTCGAGCCTCGTGTCCTGCGAGAAGTTTCTAGGATGTGCCGCGCCAGCAGTGCGGCTAGCCTGGGCGGCTTTCATGGTCGACATTTGTGTCTTCTGCCTGATGAAGCTCTGAGGGCCATGGCCCTCTGGTTCGCTGTCGTGGAGGGCGCGGGTGCCCTCCCGCTCCAGCCCTCTTGGGTTCCGATGGCTCTCGTAGGGAAGCCCGCGGGGGGGGGGTCGCCCGTTTGGAATTTCCCCGGTCGGGCTTCGCGTTCGGGGTCGGCGCTGCCGTGCTGGAGTTCTACGCTGGGAGCTCCAAAATGCCAGGCCCCGCTGGGCTGCGGGGGGCCACCGAGGGGCTGGGGATGTCGCGCGGAGGCAAGCGCTTCGAGCTGAATCGGGCAATCGAAGGGAAGACGTCAGCAGTGCCTCGATTTTCTGCGATCTAAGGAAGTACGGTGAGCACATTAGCACGTGTGGAACAAGTGCCAGCAGCATGGCTTCCCTCTGTGCCTGGCGCGTTTGGCAATCATCGGCTACTCGGTTGCCGGATGCCTGACACTGGGGGCATCGTGGAAGGTCCCCACTTCGTTTCCAATCGCATTGTCGCGGGTTGTTCTCTCGCGACCAGCCCGCCAGGGCGTTCGCCATGGATGGTTCCGACCCCATGCCTACTTCTTTTAGGTGTGATTTCGACGTCTACATAGACGACCGCAGCCTCAGTTGCACGGGGCGGCCCAAGTGGTTGCTGAAGCCTCGATCTCAGGGGCTCAGGCTCTGGAGAATGCTGCGCAATGTTCCCAGCTGCCAGCTTGCCATGGACAAGATAGGCATGGTCTCCATTTCGAAGGTGGTGGCTGACCACTTGGTCACGGAGCAGGGGCGCTTAGTGGGCGATCGAGCATGCGCTCGAGTCACTAACGGAGGCGTGGACTTCACTGCTGGGCGCTCCCATTCAGCCCCAGGAGTCAAGCGACCGGCATTGCTCGAGCAATGGGCGGCGGCGGTCTGCAGGAAACCGAAGCGCCTGAACAAGCTCAGCGGCGACATAGGGCGGCGAGCGTTCAAAGTTTTTGCTGCGGGGCCCTTGGCTGGGGCCGTCTACTGCACCGATGTTTTAGTTTTTTTTCCGGACCGTGGGCTTCTGGGCCTTCGAAGGATGGCCATGCCTTCGATCAAGCATCGGGCCCAAGGGTGCGCGCGTTCGCGTTTGTGTCTCCTGGAAGCAGGCCCCCCTTGGAGGGCCAGTTGCGCCCTTTTCTTCCGACGGGCTAAGGGGATTTGGCGCCTTTCCGTTATCTTCCTGGGCGGGCTGAAATGCGTGAGGGGGTCCGCGTTTTCACTCGGATGGCCATTCCTGGTCCAAGGTTTCTGAACATGCTTCGGCGTTCAAAATGTCCCTGTACAGACTGGGCTGGAGCATGCCCAACTTCTGTGCTAGCTCGAATGATTTCGGGCGCGAGATTCCCCTCGCTCTTTCTGTCCCGAAGCTGTTCGAACACCGCTGCGAGGATTTTTTTTTGGGGGGGGGAGGGGGGGCTTGGGCGATATTCGGGGGGCTATTGCAAGGTGTACAAAAGGCTCTGCTGGGGCGTTCAGGAGAAGCTCCTGGCCTCGAAGAGCATCTGGGGATAAGAGAAGGGGATGGTCCGCGCGCTGGCCACGAACGCCTGCTGTACAGCGGGCGACGCAGTTGACCTCGGCAACCCCCGTTTTTGTTTGTGCGGTTTGCGCGGCGTGGCCAAGGATCGCCTGTTCCATAGACTGCGCGAGTGCCCGCGTGCCCAGGGCGAGCGAGCCGAGATTCTTCCTGATTGGGTGCGGCGCGCGCGAAGGAGACTGGTCTGACCCCGAACGTCGGGCCTTCTTTGCTTTTGGGGCGTTCGAGCATCCAGGGGGCTACGCGCCGCCTCCACTCACGGTCGGGGAAGTGATGATTTTCCTGGAATTTCGAAAGCCTGCCTGATCCAGCTGACCCCCCCCCCCTCGCACTGCACCTCCAGGAATTACGTTTTGGGGGCACCTGTTCATGAGCGGCTCGTGCTCGAGGCGCACCTTTCGAGAGCTGTCTAGGGCTGGGCGGGCCGTGGCCGTGGTTTCCCCCGAGGGCGACCGCCTCGGGGCCCTCAAAGGACCTCTGCGGCCCCCCCCTGGCCTGAGCCGCCCGAGTTCGGGGCGTTCGCCTGGACTGGGGCCTGCGCTGAAGGGCCCTCGCACTGTTACTCAGACTGTGCTAATGTGGTGCTGCTTCAGAACTAGTGCTCTGCGGAGGCCCTAGGCCCGAGGCGACAATGTGCGGGCCTGGCGCTACGGGCTCGGAATTTGTTTGGTAAGCATTGCGGGATGTTTAACAAGGTTGCGGCGCACAAAGATGTCGATGATGAAGAAGTGAACACGGAGGAGAGTGTCCTTCGGAGAGGTAATTTCTGCGCCGGCATCGCAGCAAAAGGAGGCTGTGAACCTCCACCCATCGTTGGGCCCTTCCCAACAGAAGCATTTGAAGCGCACCTTGTAGATATACCCCGTTATGTCCCGCTTGCGAAAGCTCAGCTGTTGCCACTTTGGCCGACGGTTGAGTTTCGAGGGCTGGTCAGAGCGAGGTCCGCCTCTTCCAGCTCGTGACGTGATTTTTGTTGCGCACGAGTGAGAGCGTATGGGGTCCGTCTGGGGGTGCGGCGTGTGCCTGAAGGGCTCCAGGAACTCGTCCCCGCCGTCTGGGACCGAATGGTTGGGCCGGTGCAAGGCTGGGCCATCGTGTGCTGGCGTTTCCGTGTTCTGACAACTCTCACATGTTCTTTCGCATGTCCTGCAAGCTTTACAATTCAGGTGGACAGGTGATTGGCCTACGCCGTAAATGCGGCCCTCCAACGGAGATTTGCGTGAAGAGCATGCGTAGTTTGTGCCGGGGCCGACATCCTGATAAGAAGGGTGTCGTAGTTGATGAGTTCGTCCCTTTGCTGTGATAGTTCCGTTCGAGCCACCCGTGTCCCAAAATCGAGTATTGCTGTGGCTGGGTGGTTACGATGAATTATTTACTGTTGCTGTTTGAGGAGGAGGAGGAAGAAGAGGAGGAAACAGGAGCAGGAGTCAGAGCAGGAGGAGGAGGAGGAGGAGAAGCAGCAGCAGGAGCAGGAGGAGGAGGAGGAGGAGGAGGAGCAGGAGGAGGAGGAGGAGGAGGAGGAGAAGCAGCAGCAGGAGCAGGAGGAGGAGGAGGAGGAGGAGGAGGAGGGGGCGGCCGCCGACCGCAGGCCGCCCGACGACGAGGCCCGGGCCGAGGGCGACAACCGGCGCAGGGCGCTCGACGAGGCGGCAGTGGTACTGCCCTGCTCCGTCTGCCGCTTGCCTGTGTGGGTGGGCGCGGGCGGCTCCCCTGCCAGTTCGGCTTCTGGGGAATCATAGATTTCTGGGTTTTCCAACAGTTTCACGGGTGAGGGCGGATGGTTTCAGGTGAAGGGCAAATGAGTTTTGGGGCCTTCGCCTTTGCGCCTCACACGTTCGTCTTAAATGAGCAGTTGCAAGAACAACTGCGCGGACATTTACTCAGAGTGTCATTGAGCAATTGCGCGGACAGTTACATTGATGGAAAACTGCTACTTTTCAAAAGGAGGTTGCCTTCCAGGAGGCTCTCGCCGGAGATGTCCTCTGATAGTATGTAATCACTTCGTTCACTCGGCCGGCCCATTTCGCATCACTGTTTGTTGGTGTCGCTGCAAGATGGTTCAAGAGAGCTGCAGCACAGCTTCGAGACGAGACCAGAGAGTTTAACAGGGTTGCGGAAGTTCTGCAGGATTGTCCCAGCAGGACAATTTCACACCCACTTGGGGGTGTCTTGGGCTGTCTTGGGGCGATCTTGGTGCCCTCGGTCGGCAGGCCGAAAAGGCGGTACCGCCAAAATCGTCGGACAACCCTCGCCACATCAATGTTTTTAGCTCCAGGGCGTCTCGACATTCTTTTGGAAGCCTCCTGGGCCGTATTGGGCAACTTGGGCCATCGTGAGGGGTTCCTGGGGACCTGCTGGCGGCCGTGGGGGCGAACCTTCGGGGAAGGCTCGATTTGTGGGGTCGAGTTCCCCCTCCTGAGGCGCTCGCGGGAGCTTCGGGAACCCTCAACAACCGCCGGCAGGGGCCGTGCACATGAGGCCACCCCGGGAGTGCCTCGGGATTTGCACGGCGCTGGTGGCTTCGGCGTTTCGAAGAGAAGGTATCTACATGTGTACGCCACGCTGGTCCTGGGCAGGCTGTGCTGCCCGGCGGAAGGGGACGAGGAGGGGAAAAGCAGGCAGACGACGACGAACGCTCAGGCGGGAGGCCAGGGCCGGCCGGGCGGGCGGGCAGGAAAAAGAGGGGCCAGGCGGGGACAGCAGGCAGGGAACAGGAGGAAAAACAAGGGAGGGAAGCAACGAACAGAAAGGGCGGGAGGAGGAGGAACAGAAGGAGGGGAGGGGGGGCAGCAACCGCAAGCAGACAGGTCGGGCCAGGGGCCGGGAGAGAAAAACCACCCGCGACGACGCTACTGACCCCACGGCGGCGACTTGGGCGGGGTGGCCGACCGAGTCCAGCACGCTGCGGCTTGGTGGGGATATGCCTTCTGCGGGATCCATCCACCGCCCCGCCGAGGAAAGGCCGGACGGCGCGCGTGAGGGGTCGCCGGCGCGACGCTGGCGAAAGGGCGCGGGGGGCGCCCGTGCTGCCCAGCAAGGGCGGGGGGTGAACGGGGGGCGTAAGCAGCGCCGGGGGCACCTCATCTCACACGGTATCCGCCGTGGAGGCAGCCGCGGCCGCGGCCAGGCGGGCCGTTGCCACTCCCGCCCCTCCAGACTGACTCTGGAGGCGCCGCAACACCGCCCGCGCGCTTTTCCTGAGCAGGGAGACGGAAAGTCGCCGGTCGTGCTGGTCCGCAACCAGCGCGGCGTTTTCCCCTGTGGCGTCAGCCACCCGCTTGGCCAGGGCCCCGAAGGCTTCGCGCGCTTCGCAGCCCCACCCGCCGCCGCGGGCTTCCACCACCATGGGCCGTTTCACGGTTATTTTGGGCTGTCGAGGGCTCGTCTTGGGGGTCTCTACGGCTGCCTTGATGAGATTTTGGTGGTTTGTTGGGCCGTCCAGGCGGTCAGCAACCCGAAAAGGCAGTGCCGTTAAAGTTATGCGAGACCCTAGCTACATCGATGATCTGAGTGTTTCCCAGGCGTCTCATAGTTTGTTTTGCAAACCTTGGCATCCGATGTCCTGTTTTAGGGTGGTTCGGGTGGTTTGGGGACATTGCCAGAAGCAAATATGAACAACAAAACACGGATTCCCAAACATCGCCCGGAAAAAAAAAAAAAAAAAAAAAAAAAAAACGCCTCAAAACACGAAGTCGCAATTATGTGTCTTTTGGGGCCCCTTCCGGGGGTGGCCCCAGGGGTCGCCAGGGCTATCACTGATATGTGTCCGACCATTTCTTCTTGATCTAAATGCGCGTGCACGTGTGTGGCATGTGCCCGGCATGTGACTGGCACGTGCAGGCTTTCTGGTTTTTCATGTCCTATTGCGCATGCGTGCCCAGGGATGTGCCGGGTCATGTGCGCTGTGTTTGGTTCATCATTTGTCTGCGCGTGCCCGCGCATGCCCGAGCGTGTGTGCAGAAAGGTGCGTTGCAGATTTGCCAGCGGCACGTGCGCGCACATGCATGTGCAATCCTCTTGCGGATGGCCGCGCGGGCCCACGCATGCACCCATATTTGTTGCCGACGCATGTGCCCGCGCATGCCCTGTCGTCGTCCAGAGGCCGCGAAGAGTTTGTTGGCGTGCCCTGTTGAGATTTCTTTTCCGCGAACTTGCTCGGCTCGGATGGAGGATTTGGGGGTGATGGGGGGGAATAGAACCTGACCGTGGGGGAAGGAAGTAGAGGGATGGGGGAAGACCTGGAACAAGACCGGGAGGAGCAGGCGTTCGCAACTCGCATGTCGGACGGCATGCTGGCGAAGAGCATCCAGGGAACGGGAGAGGAGAATGATATCGAAGAAAATGAGGCCTGGCTTGCGCGGGACATTTTCAGAACGCAAGGTTCCGATGTGTTTTGCTTAAGAGCGATGTGCCCCCCATTCGCGGGACATCCCTACAAGTGCGGGTTCAACGATGCGATTTTCGAAGTGTTCCCGCCCGTTTTGCGTGGGGTATTCTCTAAAGGGGTTCCGTCGCTGTCCGACCTTGCTTAGAGAGGTGCAGCGCCCGCCCAGCTAGATACGCTAATCGTACAAGTAGTTGTCCGTTTAGCGCAGCTCCGCTCCGCCCAGCTAGCTGCGCCAATCGAATTGTGTGTGGTCCGCCTTGCGCGGCGTAGCCCCCGCCCAGATTGCTGCGCAAACCGGTCCAGTGCAGTTCGTTTAACGCAGTTTGGCCCCGCCCAGCTAGTTACCAATTCGGGCCGTTTGTGGTCTTCTTGGTGCGGCACAGCCCTCGCCCGATCGGCGCCTACAAAAACAGAAACGAGAGAAAGAGAGGGAGAAATGAGACGGAGAGGGCGTGTGTCTGTGATGTGGGGCGCTGAAGTGCAGAGGAGCGGGAACAGCAGCGGAAGATAACACTAAACGGGATCTCGGGGAGCGAGCCTAGCTAATGTGAGTGTGGGGGGGTCGTCGGCAAGAAATTACTTCGGTCGTTAAAAGAGCTAGTCGGGACAAGCTGAAGCCAGCGTGCGGGCAGAAACAAATCGATCGAATCGCAACAAGCACTTATTTAGAATTCAGTTGCGTTTTCCTCGACACCCTACCGTGTAGGCCTCGAGGGGAATGGCCCCTCCAGTGTTCTGTCTCGTCCGTGCTCGTCCCTCGAACCTAAACGGCCCTCTCCCTCTGCTTTCCACCCCCAGGAAGGGAAGAGCGAAGGGGAGGGAACGGATGGAAGAGCGGGAGAGGCAGGGGAGGGAAGGCGGATGGGGGGTCGGGAGAGAGGAGGGGGAAGGTGTAGTGATGCTGAGAGGGGAGTGCGGGGGAGGGGTCTTCCCTGCTCTCCTCCCTTTTTCCCCGTGCCCGTCCTCCAAGTGGCCGGGTCCTGGAAGAGTCATGTTTGCTCTCGCTGCCGAGTGGCCTCTCCATGCGGATGGCGGAAAAGGAGGAAGCAGGGTGGTTGGAGAAGGGAGCGGGGGGGATCTTCCTTCATCCGACACCCCATCCATTCTTCTTCATTCCTCCTCCGTCCTCTCTCCTCCCTCTCCTTCCTCATCTCCTTTCCCCTCCCCGTCGACTCCGTTTGGGCGGGGTGTACGAGCCGTCGGAAATCGTCGAACAGGAATCCACGCTCCCGAGACAGGGACAGCCAAGCCTTGGTGCCCGCAGGGTGACGAGCGCAGAGTGCTCTTCCGAGCCGCTGACGGGCGTTCATGGGTCATCGACACTGAAGCGCACGACGGCAACGAGGAGATGGCATTGCTCACGGCGTCAGACGGGGGGTAGAGGGAGGGAAGGAACCTGGGGCGGAGAGGGGGGATGCGGGGCTATGTTTTCTTGATAACAGCATGGTGTTCCAACAAGTGTTATCTGACTCATTATTCACATCCACATGTTTCTGTACCTCGTATCCATCGGCCTGCGGCAATGCCCGCAACCGTGCATGCGCAACTGCGCAGCAGGACTCAGACTGAGTGTAGGGTCAGCGTAACTCCGACGCATGGTCTGAACTGTGTTTCTTTGTGAACTGGACCTCGTCTTCGTCCGTGAGGTAGGGGGGGCGAATTCACACCTCGCTGCAAATCAGCGAGTGGACGGAGGCGGGTCGTTATCTCGTCCTCATCTTCGTCCGCGTGGTAGGAAGGAGGGCCAAGCAAGGCAAGGCCTGTAAGGCTCGGTCGAATCGTATCGGTCCGCAAGCGGACGTGGGCAGAGAATTATCAAATCGTGTGGGCAAACTAGCATTCAGAGTTGACCTCAGAAGTCTTGCGCGTAACCCTCGGCCTGCGCACGCCATTTCCTCGGGTCCCGAGCAGCGACTTACATGGCTCACCAAATTTTGCAAGCGAGTACCTTTTAAGTGTTTTTCCCAGCGACATGCTGGACGACCTCGTCCACGGCCTGCCTCGGGATAGGCGGCGGGCGGGTTACAACTTGATACTCGGTACGCCAAGCTGTTGGGTTTCTGTCCGAGCTGGCCGGCGAAACTGCACTGCAGGTGGGCCAACTGCTCCCGCCAACTCTGAACCGGGTAAGATGACAGCTCTGTCGACCTGGTCGCTAATTTGACTGTCGTCAAGCCGCACCCAGCCCTCAATCAAGCGCAGCATGCGTTGTTGCAGAACGTCCAGCTGCTCCTTCTGGCGCGTCGTCAGGGCAAGCGTTGGCAGACTGGAGGGCACCGTAGGCGTTGTGACTGAATCGAAGAGCTTGAGGCGGCGACGGATGGAAATCTGCCTGTCGCTAAGAATTCTCCGCCGCTCACGGGACTTGCTCCAAGCGGCCTGGAACCGGTGCGACAACTCAACGTCAGCGCGTTGACGCAAGGACCCTGGCACGTTCCTTCCCAAATATAGATGAGTATCGCTGCTTTGAGAGTGCGAGCTCAAGGCCAGCGCTGAACTGCATGGGGTTGATGCCGAAGCTCCGCGAGCCTTGCACGCGCCCCGTCTGATGATTGTACAACATCGCCAGTAGAGCTATGCACGATTGGCCCACACCTGGCACCCGCAAGGCCTCGAAGTGAGCAGGATATTCCATTATGTCGAAGGTTTTCTTCAGATCAAGGCTTGCAACCCAAAACGGGATAACTATTGGAAAGGCCAGACGGCCGGTGCCGCCGACCCTGATCGAAGTGGCTCGGATGGGGGAGGAGGAGGAGGACGAAGAGGAGGAGGAGGGGGACGAGGAGGAGGAGAGGAGAGAAAGGAGGAGGAGCAGCAGGAGGAGGAGGAGGAGGAGCAGCAGGAGGAAGAGGAGGAGGAGGAGGAGGCGGAGGAGGTGGAGGAGGATGAGGAGAAGGAGGAGGAGGATGAGCAGGAAGGAGAGGAGAAGGACGGAAGAGGTGAAGGAATAACAGGAGGATTTGGAGGTGAAGGAGGAATAGGAGGAGGAGGAAGAGAAGGAGGAGGAGGAGGAGGAGGACCAAGGTGAAGAGAAAGGAGGAGGAGGAGGTGGAGGAGGTGACAAGGAGCAAGATTAGGAGAAGAGGATGATGATGATGATGATGATGATGCTGATGATGATGATGATGATGATGATGATGATGATGATGATGATGATGATGATGATGATGATGATGATGATGATGATGATGTTGATGCGGCTGCTGCTGCTGACTGTGATAATGATGATGACGATGATGATCAGGAGGAAGAGAAGGAGGAGGGGGAGGAGGAGCAGGAGGAGGAGGAGGAAGAGGAGGAGGAAGAGGAGGAGGAAAAGGGGGATGAGGATGAGGACGAAAACCTCCTCGCGACGCCTTCTGGGCTTTCTCGAAAGCTGCCAGGGGAGTCGGATCTGGGGGGGGGGGGCAGGTGTTGAAAGAACGCGTTATCCTGTCAGCCCCGAAGCCCCGCTCTCCCATGATGCCTCTCACCGTTCACATTCCCCCCTCTCGTTTCATGAGATTCGTGTTGGACTGATGTGTATATTTAACTGTGCTATCTGTTTGCTATTTTTAATTCCTCGTCTCGTTATCATCGCTCGCTTGCCGCACGCGTTGGTTCGAGTCGACGTGGGAGATTATGGCTTCTGGCGCGGGAGCCCAGGAAAGAATGGTGCTGCATTCCTAGGGCTGACGCCCTCGCCGCCATAACCCGCTGCGGAGCCAGGGGGGGAGCGGTGCTCTCCCCCCCTCGGCTCCGCAGTGGTAGCGGAGCACGCTGGAGCGCGCGTTGGCCGCTGGGCATTCACGGCAGAGATCTACACGAGTAAGGTTGTTGTGGGCGACTGGTTCTACGAGCAGGACGAGTACTACGAAAAACTGGGATGGAGCGCAGCAACCCTTCGTCTCTCGGGCAGCGCAAACTGGCTAACCGCATGCCGATGATAATAAAGGGACCCCCCCCCCTTCAGTGTTTAGAGTTGATTATCGTCGCCCTATACAAAATTCAAATTGGGCGGCGAGCGCTGAGGCCGAACTTCATTATCACCTCGAAACGCTATGTTGAGATAGCAACATCAAACGATGTTGATATAGCAACATCAAGCGAAGCGATCACACTTTTTCAGGATGTGTCAAGCGAAACCAATAATTTTGGGAGGCAGACTCAAACGAAACGAGCAATGTTTCAATGATGTCTCAAGCGAAACCAGCAATTCTGTGAGGATGTCTCAAGCGATTCGAGAAGCTTGTCGAGGATGTCTCAAGCGAAACAAGCATAAACTCGAGGATGTCTCAAGCGAAACAAGCCTATATTGAACGATGTCTCAAGCGAAACGATACGTTTCTGAAGGATGTCTCAAGCGAAAACAGCAATTCTGTGAGGATGTGTCAATAGTTTTCTTCTTCTCTTCTTCTTCTCTTCGTATTATTACTCTACTTTCCTCTTCTTATTTTATATGTCTATCTGTCCTCACGCTCGCCTGAACTTTTTTTTACCCCTGGGGTTGATTATCCATGGAAAATGAAGCACATGAGCTACCCTACACGAGCACTTAAAACAACAATTTTCATAAAACGCTTGTAAATTAAAATTTGTAGATTTGGAACTTTGGATTTTTCCTTTCTTCGTCCTCTTTTTATTCTCCTCTTCTTCTTCTTTCTTATTACTATTATGCTGTATGCTTCTTCTTTTATATTTCTCTCTGTCCCCACGCTCGCCTGAACTTTTTCCCAATCATCCTGTGGTGTTGGGTCATCGTTTTGAAGAGACAGCGCCCCGCGTCCCACCTCCTCTCCTCCTCCTCCTCTCCTCCTCCCTCTCCTCCTCCTCCTCCTCTCTCTCCACACCCCTCACACGTTTCGTGGCCCCATAGGGAGCTCCACCGAAGGCCCCATGGCTGCCGTCCGCATGCGTCCCGCACACCCATTTCGGCACACCCCTCACACGTTCCGTGGCCCCATAGGGAGCTCCACCGAAGGCCCCAGCGCTGCCGTCCGCATGCGTCCCGCACACCCATTTCGGCACACCCTTCACACGTTTCGTGGCCCCATAGGGAGCTCCACCGAAGGCCCCATGGCTGCCGTCCGCATGCGTCCCGCACACCCATTTCGGCACACCCCTCACACGTTTCGTGGCCCCACAGGGAGCTCCACCGAAGGCCCCATGGCTGCCGTCCGCATGCGTCCCGCACACCCATTTCGGCACACCCCTCACACGTTTCGTGGCCCCACAGGGAGCTCCACCGAAGGCCCCAGTGCTGCCGTCCGCATGCGTCCCGCACACCCATTTCGGCACACCCCTCACACGTTTCGTGGCCCCATAGGGAGCTCCACCGAAGGCCCCAGTGCTGCCGTCCGCATGCGTCCCGCACACCCATTTCGGCACACCCCTCACACGTTTCGTGGCCCCATAGGGAGCTCCACCGAAGGCCCCATGGCTGCCGTCCGCATGCGTCCCGCACACCCATTTCGGCACACCCCTCACACGTTTCGTGGCCCCACAGGGAGCTCCACCGAAGGCCCCAGTGCTGCCGTCCGCATGCGTCCCGCACACCCATTTCGGCACACCCCTCACACGTTTCGTGGCCCCATAGGGAGCTCCACCGAAGGCCCCAGTGCTGCCGTCCGCATGCGTCCCGCACACCCATTTCGGCACACCCCTCACACGTTTCGTGGCCCCATAGGGAGCTCCACCGAAGGCCCCATGGCTGCCGTCCGCATGCGTCCCGCACACCCATTTCGGCACACCCCTCACACGTTTCGTGGCCCCATAGGGAGCTCCACCGAAGGCCCCATGCTGCCGTCCGCATGCGTCCCGCACACCCATTTCGGCACACCCCTCACACGTTTCGTGGCCCCACAGGGAGCTCCACCGAAGGCCCCAGTGCTGCCGTCCGCATGCGTCCCGCACACCCATTTCGGCACACCCCTCACACGTTTCGTGGCCCCACAGGGAGCTCCACCGAAGGCCCCAGTGCTGCCGTCCGCATGCGTCCCGCACACCAGGTGTGTGGCGTGCCGACATGGGCGTCGCGGCGCGCGGGCGCTGCCGTCGGGGTTCCCAGGGAAGCCCCCTGCAGAGGCGACGCTCAGAGTCACGAGTACCGAGAGTCACGCAGACCCAAACTGTTCACAGTCGTATACATACATTTACACTGGGCGTATCCATGCACGCATTCATGCGAATAGAATCAATCGCGCGCAGATTCATTCATAATCAGACTCGCTCGCGATCCGATTCGCACGCGCTCAAGCTTTCATATTCGGACCTATCGTCTTCGTTCGTGTTGTGTACACTGCCACGCATTTCGGCACACCCCTCATACGGCTCGTGGCCCCATAGGGAGCGCCACCGGAGAAGATA